CAAAGGTGAAGATTAAAGGAAAAGACTGCAGGAGTCATTTTGAGCTTCTAGCGGTCGACCGCGAGCGTGCACAGCACAGAGAAAAGTCTCTGAACTTTTCGTGGTCGACCGCGATGAACTATACAGTTGACCGCCAAAACCCTGTAATGATTTTGAGGCTCTGTCGTTCTATCCGGTCGACCGCACGTCTCTGCGGTCGATGCGAGTCGGGCTGGGCCAGACTTCTAGTTTCCTGTTCGCTTTAGGTTTTGTATTTGATACATATTAAAACACGACTTTTCTAGGGTTTTCTAACCAGATGGTATTCAGAAACGAGATCAGGACGATTTTTCTTTGATCTAGAGAGATTGTGAGAGAGCGATTTGTAATCTATTATTTCTCATAATCTAGAGAAGGTATTTTTCTTCGCCAAAATTGAATTGTTCTTGTGTTTTCTATTGTCTTCTTCTCAACATACTCTTGATAATTTTGCGATCAAGGGTGCTCGTCCAGCGACTCATATCAGGTATAAAGTTTTTAAGTTTTTACTTTATGTGTTTATACTTAAAGCTCAAACCATACACGTACACGTTATGTCGGTTTATTGTATTATATATCTTTTTGGGAATATATCGTGTTTTTGCATTATTGAATTAATGATAGTGTTTTACATTTTTTCTAAATTCTATTAATCCATTTAAAAGTATCTCAAAACTTGTTTGAAATAGTTTCATCAAAATCAAGTGTTTAACAAACTCGTATTTTTGACCGTTTTGCAAAATAATGAGTTTTCACAATTAGGAAATGTTATTTTAGAAACTCCTTTTCCAACATATTCATTTTCATATGTATAAACTTTTCTCCAAGTTTTACTATTTTTGGAGTTGATTTGCTATTTTAATTTGAATTTAGAAAATTAACTTTTCAGCAAATTCAAGTATATGCTATATCAGTTTTCAATCGACCGAAAAGTCTAACCAGTCGACCGGCCAGAAGCATTTTTACAGCATCCTGTATTTACAGTCTATCAGTCGACCGATACAATTGATCAGCCAACCGAAACTTGTTTCCGTTACTGTAACGGCTAGTTGATCAGTCGATCGATAAAACCAACCAGTCGACTGATCTTCTCTTTTTACTGTAACGGCTAGTTTTGTCTTGTTTTTGTTTTGAGGCTATAAATAGACCTCAAAAACCAATCTGATAAATATGGTGTTTTTGCCATTGTGTTCCCTGTTGGTGAGAAGTTTATTTAGCCATTTTGGCTCCATGGTTTGAGAAAATCAAGTGTGGTTGTTTATGTGAAAAAGAGTTTTACAAGAGAATGATCTCGATTTTGATTGTTGGAGCTTATCTTTATATCTCTATATCTCCTTATTTTTGGAGAACTTTTCTAAACCCTTCCTTCAACAATTTATATTTTGATTCATATATATATATATATATATATATATATATAGGTTGTTTATGTGAAAAAGAGTTTTACAAGAGAATGATCTCGATTTTGATTGTTGGAGCTTATCTTTATATCTCTATATCTCCTTATTTTTGGAGAACTTTTCTAAACCCTTCCTTCAACAATTTATATTTTGATTCATATATATATATATATATATATATATATATATATATATATATATATATATATA